CAAAGAGTTGATTTTAAATGCTGCAAAGTAAAAGATGGAGCTATAGTACAATGGAAAGAAAATTAGAATCACTGTAGATCTCTCCAAACAAATCCTCAATGCAAGGAGAGCCTGGAAAAGTACCATCCAAGCCCTGAAAACCAATAACTGCCAGCCCAAACTGATATATGCGGCAAAACTATCATTCACATTCAATGGAGAAACTAAAATTTTTAATAATAAAAAATTGAAGGAATTCATGAACAAGAAGCCAACACTACAAAAACAAAAACAAAAAACTAAATGGAGGAATATAGCCCAAAGAAAATCAAGAGCAGGGAACCACATCAGACAGAAACCTAATGGCGAGTTCACTTTATTAATATAAAATGCCCTTCTTTTTCTAATTGTAAATTGTAATTTTTTTAATTGTGACAATACAGTACAGAGGGGTTACAATTACATGGGCAGGCAATGAGTACATTTATCAAGCATTATTGCCTTTTCCTTTGTTTCTCCTTCCCATCCCCCATCTCCCCCCACCCCCCAAGTTGCCAAAGGTTCAAATCAGCTTGAATAATTTGGGATGGAGTCTGTGGGATTCTTTACATACAAGATCATATCATCTGTAGAGAGAGAGTTTTACTTCATCTTTCCCTATTTGGATCTCCTTTATGTTTGCATCTTGTTTTCTTGCTGTAGCTAGGCATTCAAATACTAAATTGCAGAGAAGTAGAGAGAGTAGACATCCTTGTCTCGTTCCTGAGTTAAGAGGAAATGGCTTTAGTTTTTCACCATTAAGTATAATGCTGGCTGTAGGTTTGTCATATACAGCCTTTATTGTATTGAGAAATGTTTCCTGGATTCATAGTTTTTCAGAGCCTTCATCATAAAAGGGTGTTGGATCTTGTCAAATGCTTTTTCTGCATATTGAGATAACCATGTGGTTCTTATCCTTGCTCTTATTGATGTGATGAATTATATTAATTGATTTGCGAATATTGAATCTGCTTTGCATCCTGAAATGAATCCTGTTTGATTGTTTTGATTGATTTTTTGGATGAATTGTTGAAGTCAACTGGCCAAAATTTTGTTGAGAAGTTTTCTATCAATGTTCATCAAATGGGTCTATAGTTCTCTTTCTTTGATGAGTCCCTGTCTTGTTTGGAATGAGAGTTATGATGGCTTCATAGAATGAGTTCAGTAGTAAACTTTCAATTTCATTGAAGAGTTGGAGGAGTATTGGTGTGAGCTCAGCTTTGAAGGCATTGTAAAATTCTGCTGTAAAACCATCTGGTCCTAGACTCTTCTTAGCTGGGAGGTATCTTATAGCTGTTTCTATTTCAATGCTTGATATGGGCCTGATAAGATGGTTTAACTCTTTGTAATTGTAATTTCTAATTGTATTGATCTAATATCAGTAATACTACCCCAGCCTGTTTATGAGGACCATTTTCTTGGAAGACTGTTCTAGCCTTTCACTTGTTAATAGTTAATATTTCAAAGCCTCAAGACAATAATTAAAGACAAGAAAAGACAGGAATTGTTGCAGATTAGGTAAATTTAGTGGACAGGAAAACTAAGAAGGCTAGATTAGATTTTGTGATGGAAATTAAATGATGGTGAGTATTAATAAAGCCAATGAACTAAAGCAATTTAAAGCATTGCATCTCTTGATACTTACATGGATGTTATTGTAAAGTTTTAGGCAAGAAAAGGACCACACAGAGAGGAATTAAAAGATTGACAGTAAAGTTTATTGGTATGTGATCCCAGTCAAACTCCCTTGTTGGTATTAGAGAGGTTGCACTGAGTTTAGTTGTAGGAGAGTTTTTATAGGTGGCATAAAAGCAGAACTTGTAGTAAGCAAAGACTTGTAGCACGTATCTTGTTTTGCTGGTTTGAGTGGTTTTAGGCCAGTGTACTTCAATAAGTGGTTGACTTGGTGTTTTTGATAGGGATGTAGTCTTTTCCCCTTCATTTCCATGTCTGAAATGCCTTGAACAGAACTTTAAACTCAAAATAATCAATCTTTACATCTTATATCAATGTCTATGTCTGTCACCTGAGGTGTATGAACTTAATCTGAGCTTTCCAACTGTGGAATCTCATAATGTCAAGAGCTAGGAACACTCTTTTTTCACTGAGCATCACAAAGTTGACTTTGCTGCACAAACCTAGTACAGAATAAATTGGACACCATTATGAAGTCTTTCTCAGCAGCCCCTTGTTTTTCCTAACGGCCTGATATTTTTCTTGGCCACTTACTTCCTCTAGCCACCTGACAGTTATGTTGATTTTCAGCCCTAGGAGTTGCTCTTTGAAATCTTATTGTAAGTTATATTAATCTAAAATTATCTCAAAATGCAAAGTTAAGGAACTATGCTTCCCCAAAGTCCCTTAAGTAGACTATTGGAAACTTTAGTGGTTTGAGAGGGCACAAACATCACAAATTTGGAATGTAATATGATATTGAAATTAGTTATCATGATCCTTACAGAAATCCTTTTACTCTCTAACTTACATTCTTCAAAGTACACCTATGTCTCAAACTTGGAACCAATCAGTTAGTGGTTGGTGGCCTTTGTGTCTTGGCAGATACTTATTTAGTATCTGGAGAAAATTTATACCAGCAAATATACCTTCATGTTGTTATTTTGCTGCTTGTATTTATTGAATTTGCGTTTTTGTTATCATCTTTGTATTATAGCATGCATTCTTCTCATAACCATGCATCAATAGCTTCAGAGATTTGTAAGGGTATAAAAGTTAAGACAGAAATATTAATTTACTCAGAATTGCTAACACAAATGTAAACTGAGAAGACTAATCCATTAAAAAAAAAAAAAATGGAGCCGGGTGCTGGTGGCGCTGGCTGTAATCCTAGCTACTCTGGAGGCTGAGATCTGAGGATATCAGTTCAAAGCCAGCCCAGGTAGGAAAGTCCGTGAAACTCTTATCCTCAATAAACCACAAGAAAACCGGAAGTGACACTTATAGCATAAGTGGTAGAGCACTAGCCTTGAGCTGAAGAGCTGAGGGACAGCTCCCAGGCCCAGACTTCAAGCCCAGGCCCAGAGTTCAAGCCCCAGGACCAACAACAACAACAACAACAAAAGCTGAATTTTAATAATTTGTTGCATTAGTATGTTGTCTAAGATGAAACTTTGCAAAGAATTGCTGCAAGAACTATGATGTTTTCTTTAATGACATTTCCACAGAATGTTTTGGGACATATTGAGTAAACTAAGGGTATGAATTTTAAAAAAATTACCACATACTTTGTGTCTAGAAACTTAGACTTAGTTGTGTAAATTTGGAAAACAAATTCTTTTTTTTTTTCAGGCTAGGAGTCTTTATTGCTGTATGGCATCTGCATCCAGCTCACAGAGCTTAAAAATGCAGCCCCAATATAAATTAAATTCTAACAGTCTTCATTTGCTCACTAATAAAGTGGGGGAAATGAAATACTTAAGTCACAGCAGCAGTGAAAAATAATACTTAGAACAAATACAAGGTTTCAATAACTATTTTATAAGAAGAAATACTGTTATTGCTTTTGCTGTTATTGCTACTATATTAATGTGAAATTGGAAAAATTACCTGTAACACTGTGCCTTAGCAATATTTAACAGTGTTCTTAGCAATATTTGACTCCTGCCTTGGGACTCAAGTGAGAGGGTAGCATCTACTCAATTTTTCATATTTATTTTTAAGCCATACACAAAAAAAATGTAATACTTAAAAAAGATTATATTTTCTCTTCCTTCCTTCCCTCCTTCCTTCCTTCCTTCCTTCCTTCCTTCCTTCCTTCCCTCCTTCCTTCCTTCCTTCCTTCCTTCCCTCCTTCCTTCCTTCCTTCCCTTCTTCCTTCCTTCCTTCCCTCCTTGCTTCCTTCCTTCCCTCCTTCCTTCCTTCCTTCCTTTCTTTCTTTCGTCAGTCGTGGGGCTTGAACTCTGTGCTTGTGAGCTGTTCCTGCACTCTTCAGCTCAAGGCGAGTGATCTACCGCTTGAGCCACAGCACCACTTCCCATTTTCTAGTGGTTTATTGGAGATAAGAGTCTCATGGACTTTCCTGCCTAAACTGCCTTTGAACCGCAATCCTGAGATCTCAGCCTCCAGGGTAGCTAGGATTACAGGTGTGAGCCACCAGCGACCAGCCTAAAAGATTATATTTTCGTAGTCATTGAAATTGCAAAAAAAAAAAAAAACAGAACAAAACCAAAAAACAGAAAAGGAAGAAAAATACCACAACAGACTTTTGATGCCAACAGTTATAAAGCTATAATTTGTATTTATTTGCCAATTTCTTCAAAACCCTCTCAATATTTCATAACTTCTTAAGTCTGGGTTTGGGGTTACATTCAGTTCACAGGCTCTCTTCAAATTCCATGTTAACTATCAACTATCTAGGACATTTAGAAATGTCTGACAGTTTTGGTGATTCACATCAGGAGAGAAGTTATGGATTCTACAATTTTCATTACACACCTTTCCTATTCCCAGTAGAACCCAACTCCAGGTATCATCACTGCCAAGATTAAGAAACGCTGACTGGCTTCACCAGTTACAAGTTGAAAGGAACTCTAATCTTGAAATATAGTTATTTTCCTGTGAGTATACATGAGCTGATTTTATAGATACTGTTGACTTGGAATTTGTTGTGCTCATTAATAGGCACTTGCTGCCTCATTCTCCTGCTGATGCCACTCCCTCTTATTGCTACTTCTTGTCTTCTTAGTGTTGCCAGTCAAACTCTTCTACTGTCTTTCCTGTACTTTCCCCTTTGAATTTTGACAATTTATGAACAAATGTTTGCATGGTTTCAGGGAATGAAAACTTTCAAAGGAAGGAATGTATTTACATAGTAGACGAAAATATAAGCTTTAGACATATTTTGAGATACTAAAATTTATGCTTTATTTTAAATAAGCAAATGAATGCACAGCAATATTGTGTAGATTTAAGAAATCTCTTCAAGGAAATGGTTATCAGACTTTCCAAAGGTACAAGCCCTCAGTTCAGATCTTTTGGTGACTTTTAGCCACAGCCACAGGCACCACTTTGTTTCTCTTTTTCAATGAACATGTCTCAAACATAAACATGGTTGCACTAAAGAGTGAGAAGGCAGCTGTTAGTATCCCTAGTGGGAAAACATGAGAGAAGTGTTTCTTTATCAGTGCCTCCTTTTCAACAGGAAAAGTACTTGGAAAGTCAAGGGTAGTTTGGCCATAAAACTCCACAGCATAGTTCCAGCTCACAGCACCTACTGTACAAACACTGCTGAGGACAAGAAAGAAGATAGAGATGTTGTAACAAGATCGCAGGAAATGTGGATATGGGGCTTTAATCCAGCTGACCAACGTAGCCTCTGTGCTGAAAACTAGGACTACTGACTTCATAAAATTAGCCAACAGTATCATGTCCTGCCCATACTGAAGTTCAGGTGAAATAATCCAGCTTGCATTGATACTGCTGTGCATTGGCAATTCAACCACTGAACCAGAGATGTTAAATTTTTGATAATAATAAGCTTCCCAGAGTCCAATGAACACAAATTGGACAATATTGCTGTCAAATTCCCACATTCGCCAGGATCTGCTCTTTGCTAAGCTTAGGCCAAAAGCCCATGCCACATAAGTGCAAAGGAGGCCAGTCAGTTTGCAGATCCAGTGCTTCACTTCAGAAACACTGTAGACACAGTTGAGAAGGCATGGAGTCAGGACAGGAACACCAAAGAAAGCCAAGGAGAGAAATAAGAACAGGTATCATGGATTAGACAGTGCTAAATATCTAGTTTCAGTTAAACATTCTACATACATAATGGTATTTTAAATATTTTAGATAAAAATAATAGAATCCTTAAAGCAATGACTATTATACAAGTATCCATTTGTAAGATGTTCTGGGTATATAGCTCAATGAAAGAGCCTAGCACATGCAAGACCCTGAATTATATCCACAGCCACACCAATATACATATATGTACATATAATATGTGTATATGTGATATTTGTAATATATATCATATGTATATTTCATTTCCAATGTCTTTTTAAAAAGCAACTCCAATTCTGAAAATAGTAAACCCAGATTTACAAAATTATGTAGAGATGCTTATTTCAGTATCTTTTGCCATAGAAAAAAGTTGGAAATAACCTTTGTTTCTAAAGAAATGCCCAAATAAATCATGGTATCAGCAAAATTATAGTGGAATATATGTCTGGTTCAGTGACTCACACCTGTAATATTGCAGAGATCAGGAGAGTTTTTCAAATCTAGCCCAGTCCATACCAAATGTTTGTGAGATTCAAAGTCATGGACATGGAAGTTACAATTGTCATACCTGCTACATGGGAAGAATAAGTAGAAAAATTTCCATCAGAGATCGTATATAAAGAATAACTAGGTAGGGCTGCGAAGGTGGCTCAGTGGTAGAGCGCTTGCCTTGCATGCCTGAGGCCCTGGGTTCGATTCCTCAGCACCACATAAGCAAAAAGAAAAAAAAAAAGCTTGAAGTGGCGCTGTGGCTCAAGTGGTAGAGCGCTAGACTTGAGCTGAAGAGCTGAGGGACAGCGCCCAGGCCCAGCGTTCAGGCCCCATGACCAGACCCAAAAAAAAAAAAAAAAAAAGAATAACTAGGTAGAGAAGGCTTACACCTGAAATTCTAGCCATCTAGATCCAAGGATCTAGGAAAGACTCATCACCAGTTCAGCAAAAAGCCAGAGGTAGAGCTTGGCTCAAGTGGTAGACCACCATTCTTGAGCAAGAAAGCTAAGACACAGTGCCCCAGCCTTGACTCTTACTGGAAAACACACATACATACACAGCAGAAAGGACTGAAGATGTGGTTCAAGTGATATATGACTGCTTAATAAGCATTAAACCTTGAATTCAAAACTCCAGAACCACAAAAAAAGAATGAGTCAATCTATACAAACTTTAGGCAGATACAGTATTTTGTGTTTTCCTCAAGAAAACAAATTCTGATTTTCTTTATTTGTACAATTAGGTTCTTATATATTTTAACTTTAAAACATAAATGCCAAGAAGTACTTCTAAGCATATCAGTGGAATAGAGTACTTTCATCCTTATCTATATAATTTTCTAAAATTTGTTTTTAGTGAAAACTGTCTGTTACTTTACAATTAAAGCAAGTATGGCCATTAACTATTTTATGCATGACTTACTCAAATCTCCTACTTTGGATAGTAGAACCTCTATTAATTATAGCTTCAAATACAGTAATATATATATATACGTATATATATATATATATATATATATATATATATGTTTTTTTTTTTTTCTGGTCATAGGGCCTGAACTCAGGGCCTGGGCATTGTCCCTCAGCTCTTCAGCTCAAGGCTAGCACTCTACCACTTGAGCCACAGCGCCACTTCCGGCTTTTTCTGCTTATGTGGTGCTGAGGAATCGAACCCAGGGCCTAATGCATGCAAGGCAAGCACTCTACCACTGAGCCACCTTCCCAGCCCACAGTAATATATTTTATGAGAATTAATACAACATAATGAAGAAAAGCTTATATTTCACATTTGTAGTAAGAAGTAACTTATTTAAATCTTTGTCAATATAAATCTTTGTGTTAGGGATATCAGAAAATTATGGTCCAAGAATATCCCCCAAATTTGAAAGATTTATGGAAGACTTATCTTGTTAATTACCTATATATCTTGGACATGAATTCACACATTTGGATGATGGGAGAATCACCAATGTTCTTCACAGCAGTAGAAAATGTTGAACAGGGAAGGGAATTGTCCAGCCAACCTGAAAAGATTCCCAGAAAGAGATGAACCATCTATATGAACCATCTAAAGTACTGTTATACAGATTGTGAGGTCAAAGCAAAGCTTCACACATTTCTTTCACGTGTCCCATTTGTGCTGTGTAAGTTAAGGTGTAATCCAAATACTTCAGGAATATTACATTTAATTACATTATTTCTTACATTTATTTATTTATTTGGGTCTGGTCGTGGGGCCTGAACTCTGGGCCTGGGCGCTGTCCCTCAGCAATTCAGCTCAAGGCTAGCGCTCTACCACTTGAGCCACAGCGCCACTTCTGGCTTTTTTCTTTTTGCTTATGTGGTGCTGAGGAATTGAACCCAGGGCCGCAGGCATGCAAGGCAAGTGCTCTACCACTGAGCCACCTTCACAGCCCCCACACTTTTTACATTTAATCCCATGACAATCCAAGGATGATCACTAATGATCCCCACATCATTAAAGTGAAAACTCAGACAAGTTAAATAACAAATTGAAGTTCGGTAAGTTACATGGACCAAAAGAGCGATACAGAAAAATGAAATATAGGATATTGGACATTTTAAACTTCAAAATTTAAACTTAGAATTCTCAAACGATAAACATTTCTAATTGTGGACATGTGCTCAAAAGTCTAGAATAGATAGCTTCATGGCATTTTTCAGAGCTACCAAAGCAAAAATCTGCCTGTACAAAGATGGATGAATGGATAATCAAGGGGTCATTAGATAACAGTCTAAGTGTAGACAGTTCTGACACAGGCTATGCCCTGGATGAGCCTTGAAGGCTTAATGATAAGTATAATGAGCCAGTCACCAAAGAGCTATCTATTCCTTAAACTTGAAGTGCCTGTAGGAGGAATTTTTGGAGCCAGAGTACAATGTTGGTTGCTAGGGCCTTAGGAGAGGAGGGGTAATGGAGTGATTTGCCAACATTTCATTTGGCAGAGATGAAAATGTTCTAGGGATTAGTTTATAAGCTTAATGAACATACTGTTTATTAAGATACTTTAACATGACTAAGATGGTTGGTGCTATATATTTGACTCTAGTAAAACTTTATCATCAAAGCACTTCACAAAATGCAAAGAGGTATTTGATTTTTTAAAGGAAGGACACCCTCTAGAGTGGTAACAATATCTTTTAGTTTCAAGTTAACCTTTTACTTTGCTCATATACATTCAAGTTTTTGGTGTTTACAGTAAGCAAATATATGACAATAGAAATGATGTTTACAATAGAAGGAGTTAACATTCATACTAAAAGTGACATTTAGATAGTTTTAGGTAAAAATACTAACTAGTCAAGTTAATAATGCAAAAAAATATAATGGAGATCCTGTATGTCACAAGATAGCTTGATATGACCTCTTTCAGGGGACCATTTGTTAATAATGAAGCTTTTTATAAAGACCAAGATATTATTTAAGGAATGCCTAACAAGTTTTTAGGATCTCTGATGCTTACAAATGATAGTAATGGCCAGATGAAAGAAAAATAAAACATTTCCATGACTGCCAGGGCTGGTTGGTAAATTTTTTTTTTTTTGAACATGAAATGTCATTGTGTTTATTTGCATCACCTTCAATTTCTTTTCTTTTCTTTTCTTTTTTTTTTTTGGTTGGTAAATTCTTAGTGAACAAATTCTAAGACATAAAATTTGCATCACATACTGACTTTATGGGTACATAGTACTTTTCCCTTTTTGTTCTTCCCATCTTCACCATTCTCCTCAGCCATGATTCTTCTGCTTTGTTGCAGACTTAAAAACCTTGGAGCCAGCTGATCATAGACCAAAACTAAATGAACTAAATACATCTTTTTTTTTTGAATTCAGTTTTTCTTATTTTGTTACACCATTGAAAAACTTACACAATTACCTGACCGATAACCATAGCCCTAAAACATCTGAAAAATGTTCAACTTCATTAATAAATGAGATACAATTTCTCATCTATCATATTGAACTACTTGTAATTCCTATTCTTTCTTTTTTTTTTGCCTGTCCTGGGGCTTGAACTCAGGTCCTGGGCATTATCCCTCAGCCTTTTTGTGCTCAAGGTTAGTGTTCTACCACTTGAGTCACAGTTCTACTTCTGTCTTTTTCTGAGTATTTATTTATTAGAGATGAGAGTCTCACGGACTCCAGCATCCTCAATTTCATCCTCTACCACTGGTGCCTAGCCTATTTCTATTCTTTACAATGTATTCTTTTGACAAGGTTGTGAGGAAGCAAGACATTCTAATGGATAGCTCAGGAATATGCAAAATGGATCACCATTCTGGTCACAGTATTAGCAATTACCAAAATTAGACAGCTTGAATCATAGCCTACTAGTAGAAAGTACCTGTAGTTACTATCCAGAAAAATTGCAGATTCTTCACCCTTTTTGTGTGTGTGTGGTCGGGGGGGAAGAGGGGGGGGACGGGAGATAGGGGTGGAGTTGGGGGGAGAGTCATCGGGCTTTAATTCTGGGCCTGGGTGCTGTTCCTTAGTTCTTCAGCTCAAGGTTAGCACTCTAGTACTTGAGCCATAGTGCCACTTCCAGTTTTCTGGTGGTTAATTGATGAGTCTCACAGACCTTCCTGCCCAGCTGGTTTTGAACAATGATCCTCAGATTTCAGCCTCCTAAGTAGACAGGATTACAGGGCCTCATGCATGTCTACAACTGAGCTAGTTTCCAGCCCTGATTTTTTTTTTTTACTACGTGTGTGTGTGTGTGTGTGTGTGTGTGTGTGTGTGTGTGTGTGTGTGTGTGTGTGTGTTGTGGGGCTTGAACACTGGATCTGGCACTGCCCCTCAGCTCCTCAGCTCAAGGCTAGGGCTTTACCACTTGAACCACAGTGCCACTTACGGTTTTCTGGTGGTTAATTGGAGGTGAGAGTCTCATGAACTATAGTCCTCAGATCTCCATCTCCTGAGTAGCTAGGATTACAGAAATGAGCCAATGATACCGGGCCATTTTTTTTTTTTACTATTAAATATTGTGTTCTACCTTGTTTGACGTAGACTTTAAAAATATGTGTAATATTGATCTAATAAATTGGAGTTAATTTTTACTTTTAAGCTCTATTCTTTCCCATCATAGGCATTTTAAACTTTGCTTTATTTTCCAGTATTTTCTTTTGAAAATATGGTATGTTTATTTTTATTTCATCTGTTACAAAACGCCATTGTGGTATTTATATATTATTTGGGTTCTTGTTTTTCTACTTAATAATAAATTCCTGAAAATAACTTTATATCAGTATGTAGAGATCTTAAAGTAACTGAATAAAATGTATTACCGTGTTACGTGAAATCTTATTTTTATACATATACACATTGTATAATTCTTAAATTAGGTTAAATATTATCTCCTTTTCTAACTTTTTACTGTATTGTTATCTATAATCAACCTACTATTCAGTATCATATCAGAAATAGTTACTCTGATCTAACTTTTACCCCAAACTTCCTTCCCCTTGACATTTTTCTCCTTGCATAGTATTCTATCATGTGAATGTACTCTAAATGATTAGTTTAAATATATACATGTCTGTTCAGATAGTCTTGTTTTATATTTTGTGTTAACTCTATTTATGGAATTGATTCATACCAGGCTGGATAAAAGGGTGAATGAGCCCAGCACTAGTGGCTCACATCTGTAATGAGATCTGAGGATTGTGTTTCAAAACCAGCTAGGGCAGGAAAGTCTGTGAGATTCTTATCACCAATTAACTTCTAAAGAGCTCTAGAAGTAGAGTTACAGATATAAGGGGCAGTGCCCAGCTCAGCTCATGCTCTAGCATTGTCCCAATCAAAATGATAATAACCTGCTGTTATAACAGGTAATGTAAATAAATATGCTTTAATGTCAACATTTCTTAAGTTTTGTTACATTATATTAATGTTAACTGTACCATTTGTTAATTAGGAAAATCATTTTCCTAGAATAAATTTCATTGACTAAGAATTCCTTGAGGTAATATTATGATGGTCTTGAAAAACGTACTCTTAGCTGAGTGTTGTGGTTCACACCTGTAATGCTTGCTGCATAGGAGGTGCTATCAGAAGACTCATAGAAAATCTCAGGGAAACCCTCTCTGAAAAACAAAGTAAATACAAAATGGCTGGAGTTATAACTCAACCCAGTGCTATAGCATGAAGTCCAGACTTGATGCCATCTACTATTAAAAAAGAAAGAAAGGAAGGAAAAAAGAAAGAAAATAAAATTTACAGTTTCTTTTTCTTTTTTTTTGTGGCAGTATGAGGGCTTGAACTCAGAGCCTCAGGCAGGTATTCTATATGTAAGCCACATCTGCAGATATTTTTTCAGTGGTTTGTTTGCTTTTTTCTGTCGATGCCAGAATCTTGATAGGTTTTGGAATTTATGGCTGGCAGTTCATCATTTGAGTCATGCTTTGTGTCTGGCTTATGGGCTGTATAGAATATTAAAGATTTTTCTTCTCAGGCTTGCTTTAAACCTTGATCCTCAGATCTCAGCCTCCTGAGCAGCCACAATAAGTAGCACTTACTTTTAGGTTTCCTGTCATATTTCTGATTGACATGTACCATCATGCCCAGCTGATCTAGAAATGTGATCTTCTTTACTGAGCCTTTCATGTAGTTACAGTAATATATGTACATCAACAAGACCAACTGTTGAGGTCTCATAAACTTTTCTTCCCCAGCTAGCCATGAAAGTGCATACCTATCAGTTTCAACCTCCTATGTAGGTAGAATTATGGCACTTTTTGTCCCAATATTGGGGTTTGGATTTAGGACCATAGATCTTGCTTGTTTGCTCAAGGCTGGTATTATACTAGTTGAACCATACCTTTACTTCATCTTTTGGCAACTTTATTGGAGATATGAGTCCAGGCTGGCTTTGAATGTCAATTCTTACATCTCAGCCTCCTGAGTTTCTAGGAAAATTGGACCTTGGGTATTTGAGTAATTCATTTTTAGAGTAGTAGCAATATGGTTATGAGAAGGACAAGAAAAGTTGTTTTGTTTGTAGTACTAAGGTTTGAACTCAGGGTCTTGTGTTGGCCTTACAACAAGCAACACCCTCCAGCTCTTCTTACTATAATTATTAATTATACAGTATCCAAGGATGGGATTTAAAATCTATTTACTATCCATGACTTCTGATAGATGGCCTTACAAGTATGCACCACCACATCCAGCTAGCTTTGAAATGGAATTCTATAATTTTTCATTTGTTGTCTTCAGATGGCATTTTTTTCATCTCTGCCTCCCTTATAGCTGGCACAATTATGTGTCATCATGCCTGTTCCAATCTTTATTTTCAAAACACATATTGAGTCTTCTACCACAGATCCTGTGGCTCTAGGTCTTTTAATAAGGGACACAAATGACCAAGAATAAAAGAAGTTAAGGTTTTTTGTTTTTTTCCCCCATCATGGGGCTTGAATTCTGGGCTTGGACTCTGTCCTTCAGCTCAAGGCAAGTGCTCTTCCACTGTGTCACAGCACCATTTTCAGTTTTCTGGAAGATGAGTTGAAGATGAGTCTCATGGACTTTCCTGCCCAGGCTAGCTTTGAATCCTGAGTTTAGCCCCCTGGTTAGCTAGGATTTTAGGCATGAGCCACCAGCACCTACCATGTTAAAGATACAACATTGTCATGCAAGAAAATTTTGGGGTTGTATTTGTTTGCTATTACTGGAGTTTTAACTCAGGGCCTCATACTTGGTGTTATTGCTTGCTTTACTACTTCAGTCACACATCTAGTTTGGCTTTTTACTGGTTGGAGAACTTGTGAACTTTTCTGTACTGCTTTGCTTTGAATTGTGATATTCCAGATCTCAGCTTCCTGAGTATCTGGGAAAACAGGTAAAAGCCACAAATGGCACTTACAAATTGCACTTTTTTCACATTTTTAAACAGAATCAAAATTTAAACACATGTGAGCAAAAGGATATGTCTGAAGTTTGGTTTAAAATACTTAGAAAAAATAAATTTAAAAAAAAGTGAGGAGGAGCAAGGTGCTTGTGGCTATTTTTTAAAAAATAATCCTAATCACTCCTTTTTCTGTTCAACACAATACACAGGCTGGGGACCATTCTTCCTGTAAAGGAATTTTATCATCTCCCTTCTTTGCCTGGTGAGTCCCAGGGGGGGCCAACCCACGCCCTTGGAAAAGGATCATGCTGACTCTTAAATCTTGTTTGGAACATCAGCTATCCATCCATAGCTGGATATAGACTGTGCAGTTAAACACAGAGCATAAGAGAAAATGTAAAATTCCCCCAGGCTCATGTAGCTTACTATTGTAATCCTGACTACTCAGAAGGTTTGGATCTAAGGATTATGATTTAAAATCATCCTGAAAGGAAGGAAGGAAAAGACATAATCAGTATGATAAAATCTTGAGAATGATTGAATCTTGTAATGAGTGTAGGAGGAGACTTAGTAACATTTGCACTTTTTCACATTTTACAATACTTTCAGAGACACTCTTATGTTGTTAGGAAAATCCACTTTGTGTGTGTGTGTGTGTGTGTGTGTGTGTGTGTGTGTGTAGTGCTCCTGATGTTTGAATGCAGGGACTTGAGAGCAATATTCCTGAGCTTCTTTTGATCAGGCTAGTGTTCTACTACTTGAGCCACAAATGACTCTTCGGTAATTTATTGGAAATGGGCATTTCATAGCAAGCCTGGGCTGGCTTTAAACACAGTTCTCAGATCTCAGCCTCCTAAGTGGTTAGGATTACAGGTGTGACCTGGGACCATGCTAAGATCCAAATTTATTTAGCTTAAGTAACAGAGGGACATGTGAGAAATTAACATACTTGTTTCCATACTGGGTTTATTGTATTTATTTTATCAAAAAGTTATTAAAATTCAGATCAGTTGGTGGGTAGACATTTTTAAATGAGTGCCTAATTCAACCAATGGCCCAGTAAACAAATTCAAACACAAAGATAATAACTCAGTTTGCCTATTTCTATTCCAAGGCATCTTGTCCATTGTCATAAGTCCTTAAAAATGTTTGAGAGAACATCTCATTAATATCCTCTGGGTATATTGGATTTGTAGATCCAACACAATTGAAAACTGATTTTCAAACATCAGGGTGCACTTGGATGTCTGGGGGAAAACTGTAAGACAGAAAAGTTGTGCCACTTAATAAAAATAAGAAGGCAGCTAGAGTTGCCACTAGAGTGGCACTCCCAAATTCCTGACTATTTGGTTTGAAGGGAACATGGAAATATGGAGTAAAGTCAATCCCCTCCATGTTTGTGATGGAGTAGTAATTCCAGAGCACAGCAATGGAGACACATCCACTAGCAGTGATGTTCAGGATTCCTGAAATGACAAATAGATTGTAGGTGACATTCTTCTGAAGAATCCCCAGATAGACATTCTTAAGTGCCAAGATGACTAAGGCTCTCCCAAAGAGCCCAAGAATGTTTGTGGACAGCAGCAGGTGTTGACTAACACGAATATCAGGAGGGAGAAAAGTATCATAGTAGGTATATTGGTGGCACATTTTGACCTTGCTGGAGTTGTTGTCATGGTGGTAAACGCAGACTCTCCACATTCCTACCATGGCTATGCCAGAATAGGAGAGTGATGGGTTGTCCATGTACCATACTCGCCACTCCACGAGGCCCATGGAAATGCTGGAGAGGATCCATGCCACAGTAGCTACAGCAAAACCAGCTACTTGGCGATTGGCACTAGTGATGGGCAAGATCATGATGGCAGTCTACACAGGGCAACTGCAAACAAACATAGGGCATAATGAGGATGGGCTCCTTGGGCCTGGAACAGTTCCCCATTGAGGAGAAATACCAGGAAGAAAAGTCTATATTTTTTGAAAAAGGTGGTTTGATTTCCTGATCTGCTGCTGAGTTTGAAGTCAGAAAAAATAATAAAGAGACTGAAAAGCTTAAAAATATTTAAAAGCTTAAAATCAGTGATCATTAAGTCCCAAAACTAGTTAATTTATACAATATACATGCCATTGAGCTATATGCTAACAGTAAAGATAAAAATGAGTCATACAGATATACTATTTTAGGCCTTGGCTCTTAACATAAGATTTCAAGGTTCACTTGTATTGTAGGATGTCTGAGTTTTATCATCTTTAGTACTGAATAGTAAACTATTGAATAGGTATGCCATGGTTTATTTACTCATAAGTCTTAGACATTTAGATTTCTTCCCTGTTTTACCTATTATAAATAATGTCACTATAAAACTTGGTGTTGACACATATTCTTTCAAATGGACCATACAATATCTCATTGTTTAGAGACCACTCAACTATTTCAGTTGTATCATTTTTCATTCTCACTAGCAATGTATATGAAAGCCTCAGCTTCTTCTAAAAGCACAGTTGTTATTTTTAATATTTTAAATCATTTTTGTATATTAATTATATGGAGAAGTTTCATTGCTTTCTACACATGCATATAATGAACTTCAAATTACTCCCCTTGCTATTATTTTATTCTCTCCCTACTTTTATTTATTTTTTTAAATTTATTTTATTTTATTTGTGAACATACTGTACAGAGGGGTTACAATTACATGGGCAGGATAATGCGTACATTTCTTACCAAGCATTGCAGCCTCCTCCTTTGTTTACCCTTCACATCCTTTGTCTCTCCCTACTTTTAAAATGCACTTCAACAAGTTATTTTTACATATGCATATGAAATACTATGGTGACATTGTCCTATTTCATCCTTTTCTCCTACTTCTGATAGGTTCTTTTGTGTGTGTGTGTGTGTGTGTGTGTGTGTGTGTGTGTGTCTTAGGGCTTGAACTCATGGACTCTCCCTGAGCTTTTTTGCTCAAGGCTAGTGCTCTACCACTTGAGCCATAGCTGTACTTCTGTTGTTTTTGGTAGTTTCGTGTACATAAGAATCTCACAGGGGAAGAGGCACTGTAGCTCAAGTGGTAGAGTGCTCGCCTTGAGCTGAAGAGCTGAGGGACAGTGCCCAGGCCCAGAGTTCAAGCCCCACGGCCGACAAAAAAAAAAAAAAAGAATCTCATAGGCTTTCCTCCCTGAACCGGCTTCAAACTGTGATCTGTCCCCTGAGTAACTATGATTACAGGCATGTCTTGTCTGGTTCCTATCTTATAGAACATTCTTTGTGTGTGTGTGTGTGTGTGTGTGTGTGTGTTTAATTATGATAGACATCTAAGACTATGTAGTATTTTGTGTGTCTCACTCTGACTTACTTTGTTTAAAATGATGATTTCTAGTTTTTTGCATTATTCTTTTTTTTTTTTTTTTTTTTTTGGGTCCAGTCGTGGGGCCTGAACTCTGGGCCTGGGCGCTGTCCCTCAGCTCTTCAGCTCAAGGCTAGAGCTCTACCACTTGAGCCACAGTGCTACTTCTGGCTTTTTTTTTTTTTTTATTTTTGCTTATGTGGTGCTGAGGAATCGAACCCAGGGCCTCATGCTTGCAAGGCAAGTGCTCTACCACTGAGCCACCTTCCCAGCCCCGCATTATTCTTTAAATGACATTTTATTGTGATTTATGGCTGAATAATACATGTGTGTATATATCATATTTTTAAATCTAGTCTTGAGTTGAGGATACTAAGCCTGATCCATTGGTTATTGTTATACTGCGATAAACATTACTGTATAGGTATCTCTTAGATTTTATCAGATATATGGCCAGAAATAGTATTTTATACTTGTGTTATAGCACTATAAATACAATTATATGGTAGTTCTATTTTTAGTTTTCTGAGGACTCTCCATACTGATTTATGTAGTAGCTACAATAATTTCCATTTCTATAAATAATTCATAAGGGTTCTTCTTTTCCTGTGTGTTCACTATTTGTTGTTATTTTTATTGGTAACATAAACAGAATCTCAGCATATTTGTGTGTGTTTGTGGATGCATGTGGATACCCATAACAGGGCATACTTGAGGAACTTTGAGCTCTTAGTCAGCCTTTTATTCACAATTAGTGTTCTACAACTTGAGCTATGCCTCCAATTATGGCTTTTTGCCAATAAATTGAAGATAAAAATCTCTTAAATTTATCTCATGATGTTGGCTTCAAATAAACATCCTCAGACCTTAGCATCCAAAGTAGCTATGATTACACTGATGCTCAAATTCAAAGCTTTTTTGTTTTTAATAACTGAACTTAGTCAGTTTTTTTTGGGGGGGGGGGATGACTGAGGCCTGAATTTCAGTAATTTAACTTAATTTATTTTGGGGGGACTTAAGCCATAACTTTACCTCAGCTTTTTTTTTTTTTAGTAGTTAATTGGAGATAAGAGTCTCAGAGACTTTCTTTGATGGGCTAGCATCAAACTTCAATCTATAGGCTTCAGTTTCCTGAGTAGCTAGCATTATAGGCAAGAGCCGCTGGACCTGGTAACCTTGCGATTTTTATAGGGTTTACATTGAATTTGTATTATTTGCTTTTGCCAATATGCATTTAAGTGATAATAGTCCTACCAATTTGTGAAAATGGAAGGTCTTCAAAATTTTAAAATTTCTGTAGAGGTAATTCATCTCTTATTCTTATTAAAATTTTTGGGCTATTGTGAGTAGAAAATTTTACTTAGTTACTTCCACAGCATGTGCATTAGTATACAGAAGAAGTGTTAGTTTTTAAATTTTTTTTGCTCCAGTCATAGGGCCTTAACTCTGGGCCTGGGCGCTGTCCCTCAGCTCTTCAGCTCAAGGCTAGCGCTCTACCACTTGAGCCACAGCACCACTTCCAGCTTTTTTTCTTTTTGCTTATGTGGTGCTGGGGAATCAAACTCAGGGCCTCATGCATGCAAGGCAAGCACTCTACCACTGAGCTACCTTCCCAGCCCCGAAGTATTAGTTTTATATGTTGATTTTGTTGACCTTTTCATGTTGCCAAAGTATTGCTTGGATTTAGAATTTTTTGATGGATTATTTAGAATCTTTGAAGGATAAGATCATATTTACAAATAGGATAATTTCCTACTTCTATCCCTTTAATTTCTCCCATCATGTTTGTTTGCTTGTTTGTTTGTTTATTTATTTATTTATTTATTGCCAGTCTTGGGTCTTGAACTCAGGGCCTGTTGACTGTCCCTGAGCTTCTTTTGCTCAAAGCTAGCACTCTTATCACTTGAGCCACAGTGCCATGTCCAGCTTTTTTTGTTTATGTGGTACTGAAGAATTGAACCCAGGGCTTTATGCATGCTAGGCAAGCATCTACCACTAAGCCACATTCCCAGCCACTCTCATCTTACTTCTATGGCCATTGAACAAGCATAGCGAGACTAAACAAGCTTCCTTCATTCCCTACACTATAGAAAATGGTTTGTATTTCCTCATTTAATACATTGCTCATTGTGGGTTTATCATATATTGGTTTATTATGTTGGAAAATATTTCTACAGTTCCTAGTTTGTTCAGGGGTTATATTCTGATAGAATTTTGAACATGGACAAACATGAACATTTAGTGAGATTATGTGTTTTTTGTTCTCTAACTAATGTGCTATATTGTATTTATTGTTTTACCATATTTGTTGAACTATCTTTACAGCTTGGAATGAAACTAACTTGATCATGATTGTATAGACTTCAAGGTATTGTTTAATTCAGTTTCTAACTATTTGATTATGTATTTGCATCTATGTTCATCAAAGAAATTGGTCTGTAATTTTCTTTATTTTTTCTCAATCTTTCCTTTCCTCTCACTTTCATCCTTCCTCTCTAACCCTTTTCTTTTGTAAGACTGGTTAAAATAAGAATGGGTATGGCAATAGTCATATGAAACAGGTACAGGAACATTTGCATTAGTTTTTAAAGGATTTGTACAAACTCAGCAGTAAATCCTGTGAGCCCTGTTGAAAAAATATTGCTTTATTTCATTGCTTCTTAGTCTCTATAGGTGTTTTATATCCTCTTTTTAATTTTTAATCTAGAAACTTTGCCATTTTTCTAAATTTTCTTGTTGGATTATAATTAAAAATTTTAATTATCTCGAATCTATTTGTTGCCTTGTGCCCCCTTCCCCCTTTTTATTGGTGGTTGTGGGGCCTGAACTCTGGGCCTGGGCACTGTCCTTCAGCTCTTCAGCTCAAGGCTAGCTCTCCACTAACTGAGCCACACCACCACTTCCGGCTTTTTCTGCCTATATGGTTCTGAAGAATCGAACTCAGTATCTCATGCATGCAAGGCAAGCACTCTACCACTGAGTCATCTTCCCAGCCCTATGTACCCTTTTTATATCTCTAATTTTTTGAGTCTACCCTCTCTTTTTTATTTGTTAAGGGTTTGTCACTCTTCTTTAACTTTCTTCCTTTTTTTTTGTTGTTGTTGATGTTGATCATGGGCTTAAGTGTATGACTGGGTGCTGTCCCTGAGTTCTTAGCTCAAGGTTAGCATTCTACCACATGAGCCACAATGCCACTTCCAGTTTTCTGGTGGTTTATTTGAGATAAGAGTCTCACGGACATTCCTGCTTGGGCTGGCTTTGAACAGTGATCCTCGGATCTCAAGCCTCTGAGTATCCTGGATTATAAGCTTGAGACACCAGAACCTGGTTTCTTTATCTAAAACCAACTTTTGGTTTCTTTTTTCTTTGTACTGTTCATTTAATCTACCTTTTATTATTTATTAAACTCTGCCATGATTTTAAGTCTGCCTACTGCTTTTGGGTTCAGTTTCTGGTTTTTCTATAAGTTTACAATACATCCTATAATTGGGCTGGGACTATGCCTAGCAAGCATGA